AGGATGAGCGAAAGATTTAAAGATGAAATACGGATCCCCATCAAAGTATACCAATTTATAATCAGTAGCATATGTTTACACAGACTTCTTCATTAGTCAAAATCTATTTATTAACTTACCTTATTTTCACTGTGAACATTCTGTTGATTAATTGAATAACTACCTACATTTATAAAACGCGCTCAAGCGGCATTTAGGTCTTGTGGATGTTGTACCATCTCCGATCTTTTGCTACATGCATGATGTTTTGAAAGCCAAATGCTGAAAATCTGTAAGTGATTTGATGTGTAGTGGGTATACAAAAAACAGACGATCTTTACACCAAAAGTGTGTATAAAGAATCCTCCTCGCCACCTCCCAAACATGTTACTTAAAATTATATGTATTTAATGAAGAGTTTATCGAGTTTAACGCACCCCTGCTTAGTTCAAATGCCATTAATTGAAATGCTGCGGTTTTAATTACTTCTCTTATAATAAACCAAACAAAAACGGCCTCCAAAGTGTATTAATTATACGTGTTTACTGCGTTGGGGTTAGCACCCTTATCGATGCTTAATTAGAATTTGAATTTTCAAGGTCTTGTTTATGTCAAGAATTTTAAGGGAAAGACACTCACCTCCCAAACAATTTAATTCATTAACCTTACATACGCACAAATTTTAACTTCGGCAACAAAACAAACATAACGAATTCATCGCAGGTTCTCTCCTTTCCTAACATTATTTACTAGTAGGTCTCTGAACTTGACTCTTTAGCTCCACTCTTTAGTGTTTTTGATCGTATTTATTTGCATATTTTAGAATTCCTTGTGATTTTCCTTGCTATGGAAAATAAGCAAATGGGGAGCGTCAAGGCTGCGTACCTTTGATGTAAGTTAATTTTTCGATTATTGACTTTTATAAAATACAATTATGTTTAACTAAAAGCCAGCTGAGGGTTCAGTGGCACAAACAATTGGCGCTATTTTAGTAACGAATCTAAATAATACCGCTAAAAAGATAGGTATGGTATTGGATACGCAATAAATTTGATACACCACTTAATGTCTAGACAATTTTAAAATAGGGAAATAACGTAAATTAAACTGTATAACTTACCGACTGCTTATGTTTCTTTTAGCATTCTGTGGAATGCCTTTAAAGATCTTTGACAAAGGTATTTTAAATATTTATTGCAGCTCATATTTCTTTAGCTTTAACACTTTAGTTCTATTAGGTCTAAATTATTACTAACTATACCTATACACGTTTCTGTCCATTCACCGCCCAAAAAATAATCAAACAAAAGGAAATCTGTAAAAAATTGATCTTTGTTTCATCTTTGATGTGTAGGTCTATGCTTTAGCTACTTATCTTGCATTCCATGCATTCACGCCATACTTTTTTCGCCAAATTCGTGAGTGCGATAACAAAACATTCTATCCGACGTTATTATAATTACTCTCTTCCTACCCATAGGATTTGCCTTCTGATGGTAATATTCCACAATTATTCGTGTAATTATTCTTTGTCTAGAGTCAAGTATAATTGGATTCTTTCTCCCATCATCTAAACTACTGAGTTCCAAACGATCTCTGACATTTGGATATTCCACGTCTGAAACTAATTCGTGGTAGTTTTTCTTCTAAATGATCCATTGTCAGTATTTCGTCCAGTGATAACCCTTGTGATTCGGTTGTGCCATTCTCATTACTTCATCGCCCGCTCTCTCCAAAATTTTTTTCCAATGCCTTCATATCTATAAGTTACCTTTTTTCCCGAGATTCCTAACTTCTTCACAATTCTCCTCTATTAGTGAGTATTTTGAAAAGGTGTCAATCGCAGTGAGGATTTTCATCTTCTCTCCATTCCTCTTTTCCTGATGTCTTCCTGTAAAACCTATGGTCCTCCCTTTACATCCATCCTTTCCGCATCTGTCCTTCCTGAAGCTCCCTACATTGTGACCAGCATTCAAACATAAATAGTATCATTGTGAACGAGCTTTCTAACTCTGCTAGCATTCATGGTGGTGTGGTAGTAACATTATTTACATCCGCCGCAGACGGTCTTTTTTGATGTTTATAGTTAGTCTATTTTGGATCTTCTTCATTAACTATTAACGATCTCTTTGGGACGACCAAATCTCATCTCCAAGTTTTCAAACATTTTTGGTACATTCTCGGGTACACCCATGAGTTCTTTCACTAGATTCATCGCTTCACCTCTTAAGCATTTCTGCAACCTCTGGAGGTTACATGCGTCGCTGTATCTACACTATTTGTCCGTTTCTTCATATAGTCTTATGAAGGGGAGCCAATCCTCCGGATTTCCGTAGAGATAAGGTAGATTTTTCCAACGAACAATCCTAATACACAGTAATTTGAAATCGTCATCACATGCCCACATTGTTTTTGACCATTTCTGTTAGCACGTTGAGATTTTTAGTGAAACTTTCTTCTATGATAATTTTAGATAACGCATCCTCGATTCTCGGGTCGTTGTGTTGATGGTCTGCCCGGTCTTTGGTTCTTTGTTATTGTACCATTTCTACGCCTTTTTCTTATATAAAACTATCAATACTATCATTTCATACTGGCTTGCTGCTATAGATCCGGCTTCATACTGCTTATGCAGACGTTTCGGAGGCTCTCTCTTACTGGGCGTCTGACATATTGTTGGAAAATATCTTAGAACTTTCATAAAAATTATGTATATTAGTAGTAGTAAAACTAGGTAGTTGAAATGGCCTCTTATGGTGCCTGATTATATAAAGACACCTAATAGTTTAAAACTATGGCCGTTTGCACTGACAAATTTAAGCGGAGCTTAGCTTAAGCAAAATCCATGGCAACGATTATTGAAACAATGGTTACCATGGATTTTACACCACGCTTAAGCTCCGCTAAAATTTGTCGGTGCAAACGGTCATAAGGGCTGGCATGTTATAGCAGTTTTTACCAAGCAGTTAAGGGCGAAGAGCGAAAAGAGGCATTGTCAATAATTTTAAATAGATTTAGGTTCATCTCATCCATTTACTATTGAGTATAGGTATATTGCTGCTATACATAAAAGAAAAAGGCGATGCATTTATTTGGAATAAAACAACAAGTAAAAGAAGGTGTTAGATTTCATATATTGCATTAAGTAATAATATTACATGATTGATGGTTTCGATACTCGTCCATTGAAAAGTGTCATCTGTTTGTCCCCGAGAATTGAATTTAATAACATAATAAATGAATGATCGGCAATGAAGACGATTTTGTCATCGAGTCGCAATTTGCGCTTCTTTATTGCCTTCTTGGCTGAAAAGAGACATCTTATTATTAAAAATTGCGGACATACTATTATTGTGCACGCAAAACGATCGTTAGTTGATTACAAGAAGCTGCTACACTCACAATATCTATTTATTTTTTTAATTTTTTTTATTTTAACAACATATTGCCATCTACCTATTATACAAACTGTTAACCAACTTGTATGCCAATAAAGTATAAACAAACGCTCAGGACACATGCTCAGATCCATGGGCATGGCACTCAACAAAAGGGCAGTTTTTGCGAGCCTCCTTCTACAAAAGGTCTCCCATATTCGCCGGAACTTACCTTTTTAACTTGCTCCTGAAAAAACTCAAAACCTGCAAGTCCCTCGGTATATTTCCTATGGAAATAAAAAAATGTTTAATATGTAACTGCTTCTACACCATTGAAGATACGTGGATGGATGTAGAAAATGCAAACTGTGATATACTTTAACTCTTGTGATATAGGGGTAATGTTTAGAAGTAACTTATCTAAAAAACTGTCGGTTTACTTTTTCCATAAATCGTCTTGATCGAGAGTAAAAAAATAAAACAGATTAGCGCAATAATCGGTGCGAAACATCTAATCTTTAAACAATCGGTAGCCAGTTGCTATAAACTTTTTTGAAAAAATAGTCCGAACATTTTGTAGATAAAGGTCTAAATTTATAAAATAGTTCCTAAAAAAAGTTTTTTTTAAAAACAACTTGAGTTTTTATGGCGGGCGCTCTTATGGAAATTTACATTGGGTGCAGTGGGTACAGAAGAGTCGGTCGTACAAAGAAGATAGATCTCCAAATAAACTAAGGAAACGTCGGAGCTCAATCAATCAATCAATCAAAATACGTTTATTCTCATGTTATAAATAATACAATAGTTGTGTTAGTAGAAAATGAGTGGCGGACTGTTCAAGTAAACTCTTAAGGGCTGGCGTGTCCAGGAGCGGACTGGGTACTTACGGGCCAGGTGGAATTGCATAGGTTACGGGATTAAAGTATTAGTGTAGTAACGAAGGGGGGGGGGTTTAGCTCTGAGGTGCACCACAAAAACAGTACTCCTTTCTCGAAAATCAATTACCATACAGTTTTTTTTAAATTGCACCTGATAATTAAAAGTAACAAAATATACAATCCACACGAGATGCGTCGCCTATCATTGTATTTCAGCACTTTCATGCTACGACAAAAAATGATAAATTCATTGTAAAACACTTCAATTAAAACAGAATTTTTTAACAACCTAACATCAACCCCATTTAGAGAAACGTGTTAATAATTTTGAGCCCCGAAAAAAAAATTGTCTCTAATCGACCCGGAAAAAAATTTTCTTATAGGATGTGGCCTGTAGAATCCATAATTTCAAACAGTTCCAAGATTGGCCTACTAGTTCAAAAGTTACAGCCCTTTGAATTTTCTTTCGAAATTGGTTTCTAGTCTATAACCGTTGATTGAGAAGTCTGATCGAAAAAGTACGAATTGATTTGGATTCCACGCCCCAAAATTAATAAGAAAGGGGGTTTTCCCGAGAAATTTTGGTGTAGTCGACTTTTGGTAAAAAAGGAAGGTTATACTGCGTGTCATCGTAGTTTTTAACAATTTATGTTAAAATGCCATTTACAGGCTGAGGTTGGCTTAAAAAATTCGAGTGAAAAGAGGCAAAGTCCATAATTTTTTGTAGATCATCATTATATATTGGATATTGCTGCAATACATGAACGAGAATGGTGAAGCATTTATTTAAAATGAAACAACAAAGACAAGTGAGTACCTATTAGATTTCATGGCATTAATAAGATTGATGGTTTCGATAGTAGTCCATTGAAAAGTATCATCTTTTTGGGTCCGAGCATTGAACTTAAAAACATAATAAATGAACGATCGGCAATGAAGACAATTTTGTCATTGGGTCGCAATCGACGCTTCTTCACTACTTTCTTGAGTTTCATGGCTGAAAAGACACATCTTGCTGATATTATACTAGATGCGAAATTCATTGCGCACGTAAAACGTTCGTTAGTTGGCAAATGCCATGCATTTATTTAAAGTAAAACAAAAGTTTGAATAATAAAAGTACCTAGGTACCTATAAGATTATTTATATGATTGATGGTTCAGATACACGTCCATTGAAAAGTATCATTTTTTTGTCTCCGAGCATTGAATTTAACAACATAGTAAATGAGTGATCGGCATTGAAGATAATTTTGTCTTTGGGTTGCAAACGGCGGGCCTTCTTCTTTACCAAGATCATGCCTGAAAAGTACAGATATGAGAGTCGGAAATGTCCACAAAGTTGCTTAAGTTACACTCACAAAATCTATAAGACCAGTACTTATATTAGTAGTATAGTATGTGGTATCTAGTATATCAATTACCAGGGGAAAGTAGTGTAACTTTATTTATGTTTATTGATTATTCACTCTAGAGAATATTACATTTACTTTTTGCTATACATTAAGTATCTCATTTTAGGCACACGTCACATATAAATCTACTTCACTACGATGAAGTAGGTACTGTCAATTAGCTTTATACTCAACGGTCCTATATGTATAGTAGATATATTTATAAACATTTATTTTAATATCAGTCATTTGCAATAAAAAAGCTGTTACAAATTTGGTGGTTCAGAAACTCGTCCCTTGAAAAGTGTCATTTGTTTATCTTCAAGCAGTGCATTTAGTAATATAATAAATGGACGATCGGCTCTGAAGACAATCTTCTGTTTACGTGGGAAACCGCATGTTTTTGCTCTTATGATCTTTCCTGAAAGCAGTTGCACTACTAAAATGGTGACTTGAATGTATTTCTGCAAAAATAAGTAGGTACTTAATGTTCATATCATTTATGATACCACATTAAATAAATTAATCTCTACTAAAGTGTGAAAGAAGCTAACTATTGCGTTAGAGTTGCATTGTGTAGAGTCTGTGCACGATAAACCCTTTGTTCCTAAACCCCCGCATCGACTTAGGCGAGGGGTTTCAATATTTATATGGTACCTACCTACCTTGTTATGTCCTCAAGGTGTGCAAATTTCAATAATACCTATTCATATATGTTTCTCTAAAGGGGGTGTGCTGGCAATGCACGTTTTTGGTGTGGGTTGCAAATAAATAGTAAAGTAAAGACCTGCGGCTTTTTTTTGGTAGAATATTCCAAAACATGACTAACATTTATTGCAAAATGCTGTTACAAGTTTGATAGTTTCAAAACTCGTCCACTAAAAAGTAGCACTTGTTCATCTTCAAGTAGTGAATTTAAAAAGATCATAAATGGGCGATCGGCATTGAAGACACTTTTTTGCTTAGGTCCGAATGAGCACTTCTTTCTTTTGATCATTGCTAAAAAGGAGTTTTATTGAAAATGGTTGTTTGTATAATATAGATACAAACTATAATTAGCAGGTCTGTTAATGACACATCAAATGCATGCTGAACACAGTCAGGGTTGAGTTTTACGAAAATGTACTTACAAAATCCTGCAAATTCCTTACGAAACATAAATATTACTTTGGAGTAGCGGTAAAAAGCACGTGCTTTGTAGTTGAACCTGATAGAAAGCAACTGTTTCCTATCCAAACGAGGTTATAATTATCCCCGTAATTAAATACCAGATCTCAAAATTTAAAAATTATGTACTAAAATCAATGAGAGAATGTAACCTGTAAATGTGTCGAAAAATACTATTTGGTATTTGGTTGAGTAGAGGACCAAAGCGAATATGTTCTCCAAAAATTTACTAAAGAACCACAATTTTTCGTTTGATCCACACTTCACAAAATTTATGTTCATGATTAATTGTGTTTTCAGTAACTTGAACAAATTGATAGACGGTACCATTGTATTTATAAATACAATGACGGTACTAACGGACTTAGCTAGGTTCCTGAATATGCGTTTTCTGATATTTTAAAAATTTTCGAAAATGCATAAATTTTAAATACTATTATCTTATCATTATCGAGGAAAGATCTAAAGAAAAAACACATCACATTTTGACAAGGGTAATTGACAAATGGAGAAACTGAAGAATTTAAATAATGTAGGTATAAACAACCCTTAAACTGCCCTTGAATAATAAATTCCCTTATACTTTAAGCTTGCTAAATATTTTAAGTAATTCAAACTATAACTTACAGCATACTTACTTAGAGTGCAGAGGTTGTAAATTTCGTATTACAGTGAACATTTCTATTTCTAAGATAGATTATGTTTAAATAATGTATAAACAAGCCTTAAACTGCGCTTAAATAATAAATTTCCGTATGGTTTAAGCTTGCTCAATTTTTCAAGTTATTAAAACTACTATCTCTTACAGCATACATAGAGTGCAGGGGTTGTAAATTTCGTAATACAGTAAACATTTTTATTTCTATGATAGATTGTGTTTAAATAATGTATAAACAACCCTTAAACTGCCCTTGAATAATAAATTTCCATATGGTTTAGGCTTGCTCAATTTTTCAAGTTATTTATGGCCGTTTGCACCGACAAATTTAAGCGGCGCTTAGCTTAAGCGTAGCTTAAAGTCCATGGCAACCACTGTTTCAATAATCGTTGCCATGGATTTTAAGCTACGCTTAAGCTAAGCTCCACTTAAATCTGTCGGTGCAAATGGCCATAAAACTATCACTTACTGCATACTTAGAGTGCGGGGATTGTAAATTGCGTAATACAGTGAACATTTTTAGTTCGTTGATAGATTATGTTTAAATAATGTATAAACAACCCTTAAACTGCGTAGATGTTATGACATGACACCAGAAATGAAGAAACAGTCTCATATGCGTCCGGAGGTCGATTAGAACTCATCAGTTTGAATGATGGAAGAAAGAACCCAATTATACTTGACTCTAGGCAAAGAATTACACGAATGGTTATTGGATATTACTATCAGAAGGCGAAATCAAATGGTTAGGGCGAGAGAGTAGGTAAATAAATATTTTGTTACCGCACACAACAATTTGGTGAAGAAGGTGTGAATGTATGGAATGCAAGATAAGTAAAGCATCGACCTGCACACCAAAGATCTACCCAAATGAAGATTTGAAATAAGAGTACCATTTGCCGAGACTGGGATGAACTGTTACGGGCCATTCTGAGTAATGATGGAACGACGGTATGAGCAGCGATATGGAATAAATGTTACTTGTTCATAATCAACGGCATGTCCAGGGAAGGTTAATGTTTGATAGCGATTAAAAGATATATTACCTAATAGAAGAGGATGTCCCAAGGTTCTTCATTCAGATAACAGAACGAATTTCTGCGTGGCAACGGCTACTAAAGAGTGAGATCTGAGTGTACAAGGAATACGTTGGGAATTTATTCCGCCATCTTCGCCAATATCTAGTAGTAGTAACCTTTTGCTGTTACACACTTGGGTAGTAGGCATTGGGCGTAGTTACGGTAAAAAAAGGATACCTATATAGGTGAAAAATAAACGGTTGGTTTACTTTTTCAAAGGTTTTTTATTTCATCTTTGGACGTAACAAACATAGGTATATAAGTACCTATACCTGTTGCACCTAGGATATTATTCATAGCAGGTAATCGGTTGTTAACAAAAAAAACGTTAAATGATTAACAATTCAAGTACTGATGTTAACACTATGCGCTCAAAAGACTACTAGTTAACTGTTATATTCAGGAAAAGCAATCCTTCCACAAAACAAATTGTGGGTGACATGATGTTTTTCTTGTATTTGAAGAAGTAACAGAAATGAGTGATTAACCTTAAACACTATCAACTCTTCTGGATCAAATGGCATTATAAGGCTATCGAGTTCCATGTTCATAGCTAAAAATTTTGCAATTAGAAGATAGTATCGATAGCACCAGAAATCTTGCAGCTTATAATAAAGTAAGAGATTTTTTATGTAACTATTTTAAATAGGTAATACTGTATGTTGCTCCGATGGTGAAGTTGAAACTAATAATATTTTGCTCTTCAAATATCACACACATGGTGTTTAATATTCATCAAACAAGAATTTAGTTTCGCGTAAATACGACCTAGAATAGTTGCATTACAACAATTGGCAAGTAAGCAGTTAAGCAAGAGTAACAATAAATTATTATCGTAGGTTTTATGTAGAGCAATTAGGAAATGGGTTGTAGGAAATTGTATACTATTAATAACGTTGTCATCAAAATATGTAGAGTAGGTAATTGCAATGTGCACAATCATTCTGTATATAAACTGTACAAAAAGTAGAATAAAGGGACTATTGAATAAAACGTCTTTAGTTCACCTGCATCTGAGCGTCCAGGCCATAATTTGGGGAATGAGGCCGTTCTCCACTCAGTGCAGTTTAATAATATCCCCCCGGATATTAAACATGGTCCTTCGAGCCGGATTTGAACCAGCGACCTATGGATGGACGGTCCGGATAAGACGTCAAAATAAGGAAAAAGACGTCTGAAAAAGGAACTAAGGAATTAGCACCATCCGAAAAAGGGAATAACGGGTGAGTGACTGAAAAATTTTAGGAGGAACCGAGTGCTCAGGACAGCACTGCATAACGGAAAAAGGAAATAACCACCAACCATGAAATTTATAATCACTACCACAAAGTACTAAAAGTACATTACCAACGAGGGAGCTTTTACGACTTACTGTCAGAAACCCACATCAGGAAGGTAATCTTAACAGCGCAACAACAGCTGCCCAGTAGCATGGAAATTTTGGCACATCCAATAAAACGAACAATGGTGCAACGGAATGACAGTCACATACGCGTGTTCGGAGTGTTTGTGGTGGCAGAAATCACGGAATACGTGATTATGAAGATCACCCCCATTCCTTTAAAGATGGAAGATTCAACCGTTTGGGAATTAAGTACAGACAACAACATAATTAGCGTTGACTACAACAATCAATTATACTTCGAATTAACGGACGAAGAATTCAAGAACAGCATTAAGATAGAGAAGCACAAATTTCTATGTGCACCTACAGTAGTAAAAAAGATGGAAGACAGCCCTAACTGCATCATAAGGGAAATTTACAACCATACGGAGAACAGCAATTGTAACATTCAACAACATACAATTACCAGCACCATATGGAAACAACTTTACATGGAAAACAAACAACCCACAAGAGTGGCAATCATATGCAACGGACGTCGACAGGAGGTTATGTTAAACAATACGGGAATCATCAACCTATCCCAGGATTGTCGACTACAAACGAGGCAAAGCATCTTAAACCCGAGAAGAGATAAATCTATAATGGTACTCGGCAGTTACATCAAACACGTTAATATCAGTACTCAACATACCAAGAGGCACCCACACCACGTACATCCACTGGAAGAACCTGTAGTGAAGGCCGGAGAACAGTTGAACCAGCTAAGGGATAAGGAGCAAGAACTACAAAATCACATTAGGGAAACTGCATGGCAGAAAGTAACAACACATTCAATGATGACGAGCACTCTAACTACCATAATAATCATTACGGCATCATTGGCTATTGGAGGAGGTTATATCTGGTATAAACGACGACAACAACCATCCCGGCAAACAACAAAAGACATAAAGATGGAACCAATAATATATGCTCAACCAGAAACACAAGGGCAGAACACCGTTGGAGCTGTCGCGAGTCGGCAGAATGTTTAATATTCATCAAACAAGAATTTAGTTTCGCGTAAATACGACCTAGAATAGTTGCATTACAACAATTGGCAAGTAAGCAGTTAAGCAAGAGTAACAATAAATTATTATCGTAGGTTTTATGTAGAGCAATTAGGAAATGGGTTGTAGGAAATTGTATACTATTAATAACGTTGTCATCAAAATATGTAGAGTAGGTAATTGCAATGTGCACAATCATTCTGTATATAAACTGTACAAAAAGTAGAATAAAGGGACTATTGAATAAAACGTCTTTAGTTCACCCGCATCTGAGCGTCCAGGCCATAATTTGGGGAATGAGGCCGTTCTCCACTCAGTGCAGTTTAATAATATCCCCCCGGATATTAAACACATGGAAAGCGTGTTATTTGAAGACTGAATATTTTCAAGCAATAGTTTAACAACAGGATGAGACAACATCCAGACCGAGTTCATTATGTTGGCCGCTGATAATTAATCAATAGAAACATTCCTTCAAATTGTATAACGTTGCCGCATATCCGGTCAATATACTCCCTAATTATTAATTTGAATTATTTCTGTTGAATATACAAAGTGAGGGTTAAAAATTATTGATTGACGATCCCATCATTTAGTTTCAACTGCTGCTTATGCAAAACATATGCCTTGAGGATCAGGTTTGACAAGCTCAAAAGCAGCAACACAAACCATTGAATTCACAAACATCAAACCAACCCTGCTATACCAATGCAGTAATAGTAGGTACCTAGGTATGTATTTTGATAGGAGTGTATGTACTAGCAGACTTTTAGTTATACTTGAATGGTCCTTGACAGTGTTACCTACCTGGAAAACTTCTAGTAACATATATAGCGACAGTTTTTCGACTATCGACATACTCGCTGTTTTTCGCGTGCCTATACTTTGATTATGCCTAAGTAATTTATTGCTTGTTTATGCATATGTTACCGGACAAACCCGATTATAGGACAAACTAGTTTGGACTAGGATGATCTAGTTTTTCCTGAGCGCCCTAGGATCAACTAGTTTAGCCTTATTGATTACAGGCTGAACTGGTTTCGCCTAACAGCGTTAGGATAAATCAGATTAGCCTGGTTGAATTGTTAGGCTGAACTAGTTTGGCCAGGTAGCGTACGGATAAACTAGTTTTGCCGGGTTCAAGATCAGGCCAAACCCAAGCAGCCGGGGTGTGGGGGTTCAAAGTAATACTAGAGTTTCTGCAATATAGTGTTTGAAGAATTCCATGTTTCGTTCCAACTTTGTACAGCCCCTCATCAGTGATATCAATAACAACGCCAATTAGGTCAACTTTAGACTTGTCCACATCGGGAATGGGTATCATGACGTTATCTCCAATATTGGCTGGTGGATGTGACTTATCACTGTGGGATTTCATTTTTTTTGCTTGCTTTCTTAGACCTTCAGCAGCGGTTTTTCTTGAATGTTTTATTTGATTGTCAGTTGAGGTATGAGCCTGAACCATATTTTCATCTTCTTTCATTAAGATATCATCAGCTGTTTCACTTGCAGGTGTTAGGTTATTGTTTATAACCTTTGTCAGATCTTCCTCATCATTTATATCTTTGAAAATTTCAGAGGGCAGAGATGAAGTAGAGAGTCCGACTATAGGATCCATACCAAACATAGCTTTATAAGGAGATTGTTTAATACCAGAATGGAAAGCTCTGTTTTTCATGAATTGTACATACCGTAACCCCTCCGACCACATTGTTGTCTTGTTATCAGCCATCCAAGATGCAAGCATGTTTTCGACGTCTTGATTGGCTCTTTCTACTGAGCCCTGACTTTGGCTGTGCCGCGGTTTACCATGCACAATCTTCAACTCTGGCCACAACTGTGTTACTTCAGAAATAACTTTATTAACAAATTCCCTTCCATTGTCAGACTGTAGAATACACGGGGCTCCTAAAGTTAAAAAAATGTCATTCAGTTGGTAGGCAACTTCTTCGGCTCTTTTGCTTTGCAATGGACGAAGCAAAACAAATGTTGTTAAGTGATCTTGGTAAACCATTATAAACTTAAATTTGTCATCTGGTTGAGTCTGAAAATCGATAAGATCAACTTGGCACCTACTATTCATTTCCGAATGTAAAATTGGTTTTGAGACCAAACCTTGTTTCTTTTTGTTTTTTTTCATGTGACATACTTGGCACATTGACAGATAAAGCTGTATTTCTTCCTTCGTAATATTGGCATATTTCTTTGACGTTTCGGCAAGCATTCTATCACGGCCACCGTGACCAACTGCCACGTGAGCAGCATCGATAACATCGTACAGTTCATCGACCGTCAGATAGTACTTGATGTTTTCGTTTCTCTCACGGGCTGCCACCAATTTTTTTACCCCTCCAATGTCAATTACACTAAATCGTTTCAGGCGTCTCTGCTGCAACGGGGTCTTCTTATCTGTGTTTGCAGCAGTTTCGACTTCATTTATAAGTTGTTGGTACTTATCTTTTGTCAATACGTTGAAATGTGTTGATTTATCGTTTTCGCTTTGTAAAACTGTAGTCATGAACCTTTCTCTCCATTCTTTCTGGCTATGCCCACCATTAACAGAATCTTCCTCCATAGTCTCACCTACTAAAGTAAACGTTACTGGTACCTACCACACTTTCAGCTCAATAACAATAATATTCACACACGACACACTCCAAAGCACGGTGCAACGCACAACGAACAACCAAATAACAACTAAGACGCACTCAGATTCGCACTCTACATACCCCGGATACTGACTGAGCAAGTGAGAGGGAGGAACAAACAATGTAATGCGACGAGCACGTCGAGACTTGCAACCCTCCCCTTCGGGCTGCTTGGGTTTGGCCTGGCCTTGAACACTGCGAATCTAGTTTATCCGTTCACTACCCGGCGAAACTAGTTCGGCCTAACAATTCAACCAGGCCAATCTGATTTATCCTAACGCTGTTAGGCGAAACCAGTTCAGCCTGTAATCAATAAGGCCAAACTAGTTTATCCTAGGGCGCTCAGGAAAATCTAGATCATCCTAGTCCAAACTAGTTTGTCCTAAAATCGGGTTTGTCCGGTAACACATACAACTATTACAACTATAGCTACAGAACTCAACGTTTCAACAAGCTTTGTGCATTGACTTTATAAAATTAAAATAAGTTTATGTAAGAAAATGCACTAAAAATTAATAGATTCAGGTTGCGAGAAGGAAAAAACACAATCATAGGTAAGTATAGGTATATATTTTTATTCACAGTGAGAAATTTTATAGACATAGCATCTTTTTCTTGCGAAATGTTTTAGCTAATGGCATTTGTAGGCGCTGCAATTTGTCCCGAAAAAATCGTAACTCTTAAATTTTCAAATTTACATTGAAGAAACAAGAGAAAAGGGTGGTCCGCCCGAAATGCACATTTTAGACGTATAATTGCACAGCGGTTGGCGCTTATAACAACTCCTAAAATGAAAAAAAGGTTTTTAACTTTTGCTACCCTATAAAAAAAGAAGAAGAACATAAGTACCTAATAAGTATTTAAACCATTCACACTCTTCTCTAATTCTGTTACGAGCTAGTACCTACTGTATTGCTCGTGTATAACTACCTTCCATAATTTTAAGAATGTAAAAAATTGACAATTAGACACGTTTGGCTGCTATATCTTATTTCCAAAATTAATTCACTTTTGCTATACAGTTACGGCTCCTAACAAGAATCTACTTCTGTTGAATAAAGATAGGTAGTTCCACTTATACATTAAAGCCAAATAGTGAAATTGGTGCAGTTATCAGTTGGCGGTTCCCTGATATCTCAAGTTCGATCTGTTTGATGCACAGACATATGACTAAGAATATAATTGTAAAAACATGATCATGTGAAACCATGTACCTACTAATCGATACCTTTCACACTAGACATAACTCTGTACTCGACTCATTTTAAGAAGGTAGTGGTAGAAAAAAACGAAAAGAGCACAGAACGGATCACCAGAGTGGAGTACTTGAAACCAAGTCTACTAGAAAAAGAGTATGGCTAATATAACCAGATCTGATTTATAGACCAAAAATGCTAAAACCACGGTTTATATTAAAAAAACACTCAACAGGAAATAACTGTTAATTGGATATTACAAAATACATGCTTCTTAAAATGTTACAAATACAATGAATTCAAAAAATCACAATACATTTGTGTAAATAGGTGCCAATTATAGCTTAGCATTTATATAAGTAGGTACAAAAGTTCAAACATTAGGCGATGCAATTCGGCCATAAAATAAAACGTGATGCACATCTTCCGACCGTGTTTTAAGAAGTATAACAAACGAATGATCAACATTAAACGTAATCTTTTGTCGAGGCCTAGGTCTTGAACAGCGCCCAAGCATAACCATCGCTAAAAATAGTTGAAGTAAATATGAAATGTTTGAAAAGCTGTGAAAAAATTAGAAAGCTAGCAATTGCAAAGATTAAAGAATACATTTTAGTATTGTGATAATAAATAAAACAGTACGTAACGTAAGCCCTCATTGCGCGTTTGAAGAAGCAAGAGAAATTGGTGGGCAGCTCGAAATACAATCCTTTCATTTCTTAGTCGGGGCAGAACATTTCGGTCTCGCCATTTTGGTCAGGACAAAATCAAAAAAATCATTTTAAACCACATTAACGGTGGAATTATTTGTGGCGTTATCTAAAAAATAAAACCAAAAACCTTTACTGAAAAGGGTCTTTTTGTTTTCAGGTTTCCTGTCTACCGAAATTGTGGTAGTTTACGTTTACATTGCGACACGGTCAAATTTGGCAACTGTGCGTTTGCTTTTATCGCCTTTTGCTACATTATACGATAAAAAAATCCGTTAGTTTCATAACGAACAATTACAGAAGCGTATTTTCCGTAAATCTCACTGCGATATTCTGCGGCAAAAGGGGTATAACGTATAACCCAAAAATGCATTCGGATTTACCAAGAAAAAGTAAGGAACTTATTTCTAATTTTATTCGTTATTTTGAAC